TGAAAAACAGTGGAGGGCCTAAACATTAGTGCTGGCAGTGAGTGGGGCTGTTTCTGCTAACACTGCGTTTTTGGGGACATTATAATAAAGGGGGTACAAGTATAGTTCTGTTCATGATCAATACAGGTGAAACTCGAAAAATTAGAATATCATGCAAAAGTTAATTTATTTCAATAATGCAACTTAAAAGGTGAAACGAATATATGAGATACTCATTACATGCAAAGCAAGATAGTTCAAGCTGTGATTTGTCATAATTGTGATGATTATGGCTTACAGCTCATGAAAACCCCAAATCCACAATCTCAGAAAATTAGAATATTACATGCAATCAATAAAACAAGGATTGTACATAGAACAATATCGGACCTCTGAAAAGTATAAGCATGCATATGTACTCAGTACTTGGTTTCGGCCCCTTTTGCAGCAATTACTGCCTCAATGCGGCGTGGCATGGAAGCTATCAGCCTGTGGCACTGCTGAGGTGTTATGGAAGACCGGGATGCTTCAATAGCGGCCTTCAGCTCTTCTGCATTGTTCAGTCTCATGTCTCTCATCTTTCTCTTGGCAATGCCCCATAGATTCTCTATGGGGTCAGGTCAGGCTAGTTTGCTGGCCAATCAAGCACAGTAATCCCACGGTCATTGAACCAGGTTTTGATGCTTTTGGCAGTGTGGGCAGGTGCCAAGTCCTGCTGGAAAGTGAAGTCAGCATCCCCATATAGCTCGTCTGCGGAAGGAAGTATGAAGTGCGCCAAAATCTCCTGGTAGAAAGCTGCATTGACCCTGAACTTAATGAAGCACAGTGGACCAACACCAGCAGATGACATGGCTCCCCAAATTAACACAGACTGTGGAAACTTCACACTGGACTTCAAGCATCTTGCAGTGTGTGCCTCTCCATTCTTCCTCCATACTCTGGGTCCTTGGTTTCCAAATGAGATGCAAAAGTTGCTCTCATCAGAAAAGAGGACTTTGGACCACTGAGCAACAGACAAGGTCTGTTTTTCTTTAGACCAGGTAAGACGCTTCCAGGAGATTGGAGCACTTCATGCTTCCTTCCGTAGACTAGCTTTTTGGGGATGCTGACTTCATTTTCCAGCAGGACTTTGCACCTGCCCACACTGCCAAAAGCACCAAAACCTGGTTCAATGACCGTGGGATTACTGTGCTTGTTTGGCCAGCAAACTCGCCTGACCTGAACCCCATAGAGAATCTATGGGACATTGCCAAGAGAAAGATGAGAGACATGAGACCGAACAATGCAGAAGAGCTGAAGGCCGCTATTGAAGCATCCTGGTCTTCCATAACACCTCAGCAGTACCACAGGCTGATAGCTTCCATGCCACGCCGCATTGAGGCAGTAATTGCTGCAAAAGGGGCCCAAACCAAGTACTGAGTACATATGCATGCTTATACTTTTCAGAGGTCCGATATTGTTCTATGTACAACCCTTGTTTCATTGATTGCATGTAATATTCTAATTTTCTGAGATTGTGGATTTGGGGTTTTCATGAGCTGTAAGCCATAATCATCACAATTATGACAAATCACAGCTTGAACTATTTTGCTTGAGTCCATCTAATATTTGTTTCACTTTTTAAGTTGCATTATTGAAATAAATTAATTTTTGCATGATATTCTAATTTTTCGAGTTTCACCTGTATATTCATCCATACAAACACTATACCAGTAACGGCGGTGATCAGTGATCTATAGTGTGAGTGTGTGCGAGCAATCTAACATTAGCTGACTCTGGCTGGGAGGGGTGCTGGCTCTGGCACTATATGATGTCGCTAGTGGCAGTAATACAATGATCAGTGACAGGTGATCAAAGGGTTAATACAGGCGATCAAAGGGATTAAATGTGCTAATCCAATGTGCGTGTGTGTGTATATAAAATGTAGTGCTTTTTACTCACAGTGTGGTGTCCTCTCTTCACTCCCTGGACCGAAAAGTGGGGCAGCAGGGGGGCTTGATCACACCCAGAAATAGAAAGTGATGTAAAGGTGCGTCCCTTTGCGCAGAGACGTCACACATTTTTTTTTTCCATACTTTTTTTTTTTTTTTTTAAATACTTTTAAAAATACCATAGTAACACTGCACTACTTTGGGAGGGGGGGGCAGTTTTTTTTTTTTTTTACTTTATGTCTACACTTGAATTGTAGGAGCACTAATGTTTACTGCTCCTGCAAAGCAAATACTTGCTTTGAACTAACATGAATGGGTTAAGTTCATGACAGTTCAAAATACTATTGATCTGTGACTGGCTACACCTGATCACATGGTACAGGGTGCTGTGATCGGCCCAAGTACCATGTGATAGCTATGGGTCAATCACAGCACCCCAGGAAGAGAAGCAAAGCTGTTAAGAATCAGATTGATTCATAACAGCTTTGCTAGCATTGTGATTGTGTGGTTGAAGCGTGCACTGTGATGGCCACTGTACATAACATATAATGCTGCATTGGTAGTGAAATATTCAGAAACATTCATGTAATTTCCAATTCATCATGCCACCGAAGCAATACAGCAAAGCAAAATGTTCAACAAATCTAACATTTAACCATTTGCCGCCCGCCCTACGGCCGAATGCCGGGCGGCAAATGTCATCAGCGTTCCGGGTGGACGCCATATGGTGTCCTCCCGCACATGCGCAGATTGCGCTCCTGCAGAGCCGTGCAGCGGCGCGATCTGTCGCCAGCCATGTACCTCAGACACGGCCGATGACAGATCTGAGTATCGGCCCCCGTTGCCGGTACCATGTGACCTGCTGTGACCAATCACAGCAGGTCACATGACAGTTGTATACAATGGATGGCTTCATTCATGCCATCCATTGTATACTAGTGTCTAGCTATGAATGGTCACAGCTAATCACATGCACGTGTCATGTGATTAGCTGTGGCCAAATCATAGCTAAGCACAAAAAAAAAAAAAACCCTGAATGAATCGATGTCATTCAGGTAAAAGCTTGCAAAGTAATTCTTTGCAATAAGCAAATTGTGTAAAAAAAAAAAAAAAATACTGATCACTTCCCCAAAGTAGTACAATGTTACTATGGTAACATTGTAATACTTTGGTCATAGTGAAATATGAAAAATAAAGCTTAAAAAGAATGAAAAAAAATTTAATAAAAAAAAAAATTATATATATATATATATATATATATATATATATATATATATATATTTATTTTTCCATACTGTCACCAGTCAGTGTCCCTAATCACCGCCATGCCAGTTATATGATGACGCTGTACTGCACTGGTGACAATATGTAAAAAAAAATAGTGAAACTAATTTTTTCAATTTTTTCATTTTCCGAAAAATGACAAAAAAAAAAATACAACTTCAAAAAACTCGCCATGCCTCTTAAGAAGTACGTCGGACTGTCTACTTTGCAAAAAGGGGTCATTTGGGGGATATCTGTACTGTTCTGACATTCTTGGACCTCAAGAAATTAGATTGGCTGTCAGTACTTCAGGATTGATCAATATTCAGATCTATACCATAGTTTGTGAACTCTATAACTTTCCTACAAACTAAAAAATACATCCTAATTTGGGTTATTTTCACCAAAGACATGTAGCAGAATACATCTCGGCCTAAATTTATGAAGAATTATTTATTTGCAAACTTTTATAACAGAAAAAGAAAAACGTGTTTTTTTTTTCAAAATTTTTGGTCTTTTTTTGTTAATTTAGCAAAAAATAAAAACCCCGGCGGTGATTAAATACCACCAAAAGAAAGCTCTAGTTGTGTGAAGAAAATTATAAAATTTTAGTTTGGGTACAATGTTGCATGACCGCTCAATTGTCATTCAAAGTGTGAGAGCGCTGAAACCTGAAAACTGGCCTGGGCAGGAAGGTGTAAAATTGCCCGGTATTGAATTGGTTAAATGTGTAAGACTAGTAGAAAAAAATCTCCTAGATTGTAAGCTCGTAAGAGTAGGGCCCTCTTACCCCTCGTACGTTGTTTGTTGTTGTTGTACTGTGCCATGTATTGTCCCCCCTATTGTACAGCGCTGAGCAAACCCTTTGGCGCTATATAAACTCGTAGTAATAATAATAATAATAATAATAATAATAATAAGGTATTACAGTATGTTTTCTTATTTTGTCAGTAAAATAAAGTTATATTAAAATAGTTTAGGCCTCTCCCTTCAAACAGAGGGAAAAAAAAAAAAAACCACCTGCATAAACTGCAGCCCCTAAGGAAAGCAGACTGTTCAGTGAATAGAGCTTTAGGGCTGTATTTTTTTTATAGCCACTAAACTGCAGAACATCTGTAGAATAAAAGAATATGTATGTGTCTGACCTACTGGTAGAGAGACTGTGCAGTGTTTGTAGACCTCCTAGACATTCCTGTGAAATGTCTGTGGGCTATGGGAAGGCTCACAAGAGCACAAAGAGTCTTGTTACATATGCCCCATAGGGGAGTGAGCACTTGATTTGAGTTGTGGGAATGAAAAAAAGTGTCCAGTAACAGCACACGCCTGGGAGCACTAATCAGATTAGACTGCTTTACTTCACAACAGGTGTGGTATAGGAATATTGGACTAAACTCACTATTCTCTGTAGTTGGATAGCTTGTGTTCAGCACTGAAATGTACTATGTGGGGCCAGGTTATCCCATGATGGTTTTCAGAGGCAATATGCTGACAAAATCTGGGTTTAAAGAATATGTATACCCAAACATTTCATATTCCTGAAATGTGCCTGCTGTACCATGTACTTGTATGAAAAAAACAACTTGTTCTCTGTGTCTTGCCTCCTGTGTGTGAAATCCCTGGTGTTTCTCCTGCCAGTCCCTCTGCTTTCCAATTAAAACTGGCCACACTAAGCAGAATAAAACACAGAGTTTAACCACCTCCCGCCCGCCATATAGTAATATGACGGACGCAAGGTGGTTCTCTCGTTCTGGGAGGACGTCATATGACGTCTTCCCATTCTAACCGCGCATGCGCAGCTCCCGAAGCCCGGCGATCGGTGGTGCGCTGTGTCCCTCAGACACAGCGGATCACCAATCCACGGAAGGAGCCGAAGATGTCGGCTTGGTCATGTGATCAGCTGCGTCCAATCACAGCTGATCACATGTAAACAGGGAAATGCCGGTTATCGGCATTTCTCTCCCTACGAGCTGTCACGCTGACAGCTCCTGAGGAGAGGAAAGCTGGTAACCGGCATTCCTCGGAGGGGGCATGTACACAGATCATCAGGGCACTGATGATCAGTGTGCCGCCCCAGCAACGCCACCTGTCAGTGTCAATCAGTGCCAGTGCTCATCCGTGCCACATTTCAGTGCCCATCTGAGCTGCCTTTCAGTGTCACCCATCAGGGCCAGTCAGTGCTGCCCGTCAGTGCCATATATGAGTGCTGCCTTTCAGTGCCCATCAGTGATGCCTGTCAATGCCCATCAGTGCCACCTACCAGTGCCTCCTCATCAGTGCCACCTATCAGTGTCCATCAGCGCAGCCTATCAGTGCCCATCACTTCAGCCTCATTAGCGTACATCAGTGAAGGAGAAAAATCACTTATGTACAACATTTTATAACAAAACTAAGAAAAAATTTTTTTTTTTTTTTAATTTTCAGTGGTTTTTGGTTTAAGAAAAATTAAACCCAGAGGTGAATAAATACCACCAAAATAAAGCTCTATCTGTCACAAAAAAAAAATGATAAAAATTTCATATGGGTACAGTGTTGCATGACCGCGCAATTGTCAAAGTGCAACAGCGCTGAAAGCTGGAAATTGGCCTGGGCAGGAAGGGGGTATAAGTGCCCTGTAGGCTAGTGGTTAATAAAAGATCACATAGGTGAGTTCTTGCTGGAAAAAAATATTTTAAACATCAGACAGCATGGGTTCATGAAAGACAGAAGTTATCAGACAAATCTGATTTCTTTTTATGAGGGGTTGAGCAAAATCTTGGACAGAGGGGTGGCGGTGGACGGACGTGGTATACTTGGACAGAGGGGTGGCGGTGGACGTGGTATACTTGGACAGGGGGGTGGCGGTGGACGTGGTATACTTGGATTTTGCAAAACCGTTTGACACAGTTCCCCACACATGGCTAATGTGTACGGTAAAGTCTACAGGCTTGGAAAAATCTGTATGTAAATGGATAGAAAACTGGCTAAAAGATCATATTCAGAGAGTAGTGGTTAATGATTCATACTCTGAATGGTCTATGGTTGTCAGTGGTGTACCCCAAGGTTCAGTGTTGGGACCCTTACTTTTATTTATATTTATAACTGTTATAGGGTCTGAGATTAAAAAACCCATTTCAGTCTTTGCAGATGACACCAAGCTGTGCAGTGGAATAACGTCCTTACAGGATGTCTCCAACTTACAAGCCGACCTCAATGCACTGTTTAATTGGGCAACTATGTGGCAAATGAGGTTTAATGTTGATAAATGTAAAGTTATGCACTTGGGGGCTAAGAATATGCATACATCATACATACTAGGGGGGGGTACAACTGGGGGAATCAATGATGGAGAAGGATCTGGGAGTTCTGGTAGATTACAAGCTTAATAATGGCATGCAATGCCAAGCTGCGATTTCTAAACCGAGCAAAATCCTCTCTTGTATTAAAAGAGGTATAGACTCCAGAGAGAGAGATATCATATTACCCCGGTACAAATCATTAGTAAGACCTCATCTGGAATATGCAGTTCAGTTTTGGGTACCAATTCACAAAAAGAACATTGGGGAACTGGAGAAAGTACAGAGAAGGGCAACTAAACTGATAAGAGGCATGGAGGAGCTCAGCTATGAGGAAAAATTAGAGGAACTGAATGTATTCTCTCTTGAGGAGATTAAGGGGGATATGATCAACATGTATAAATACATCAGTGGTTCATATAGTAAACGCTGTGTAGAGCTTTTCACCCTGAGGTCATCACAGAGGACAAGGGGGCACTTATGTCTGGAGGAAAAGAAATTTAATCTCCAAACATGGAAAGGTTTCTTCACAGTGAGAGCTGTGAAAATGTGGAATAGACTCCCTCAAGAGTTGGTTCTGGCCAGCTCAGTGGATTGCTTTAAAAAAGGCCTGGATTCTTTCCTAGATACACAGAATATAACTGGATACTAACATTTGTAGGTAAAGTTAATCCAAGGAATATCCGATTGCCTATTGGGGGATGGAGAAGGAATACCTGTGGGTATAGGATTATATATTTTTTTTTTTTTTAATGGTTGAACTGGATGAACTTTTGTCTTTTTTCAGCCAGGCTAAGTATGTAACTGTGGTAAGTTCTCTAGCTGTGCTGGGAACTCAGTTTGCTCTCCTCCAATGATCAGACTTGTCGCACAGCCCCCCTCCTCACACAGACTTTCCCCAGGAAGATTAGCATGCTGCTGTTTCTCTTCCCCCAGCTACTATGCAGTTGGGAACAGAGGAAATGCGATCACTTCTAAAAAAAAAAAAAAAAGAAAGAAAAAATGCACAAATGTTTTTGCCTTTCAATTTTATTTCAAACGGAATGGGTAGCTTTCCAAGGTGAGGGTTTAAAATCACTTTGATGTAATTATGTTAATTTAAATTGGACATAATTTACAAAGAACACATGAACAAGCACTGCATTATGTTCTATTTTGTGAAGACTTGAGTTAAAGTTTGTCCAGCAAAGCCCTAAAGCGGATGACTCAAGTAGAACCAGTAAATTTTGCTGCTCAGATGACAAATGTTATGGTCATAAATAGTTCATAAGCTGTTCAGCTGCAGTGTTTGTACTGTACTATGAGTAAAATATAGGCTAATGTCAGGGATACAAGATCTCCTTATTGTGGTAGCCTAGCAAGATTTTGTCATTTAGTTTGCACTGATGAAAGCCATTCCTTAAAAAGAGGTGTCAACTATCAGTTAAAAATTGGGTGACTATTGCCTTTTTACTAAATGAGAGTAGATATAGCGGTCCAGGATTTCCTTGCATACATTGGATTTCTCTGTCTTAGGATAAACAGAATGTAGTACGCCATTTTCACAACTCTTTCACTAAAAGGGTAATTACTTATTAGAATGCCTGATCTTTGCCTACCCAGAAGCAAGCAACAGGATCACTTTAATGGCCTTTTCACCAGGAATGCATATTTGCTTTTTATCTATTCCCCTACAGCTCCACTCAACTGGGAGTAAAGAAAGAGCAACACGTCGTTGCTCTAGTTGCAGCTTTTACCAAGGTGTGGACTCTTTCCACTCTCGTGTGATAGGGTTGGGCCAATCACTAAGCAGTGTCATATGTTCCTTCATAAAATAGAAAAGAAGTACTGAGTTTTGTTTTTCTTACCTCCCAATGGCTGAATGGAATAGCAGGTGAGCAAAGCAGTAAGTTTTTATTACGACCACATTGCTTGAAAAAACTAAACAAAAACAAAACCAAAACACACAGAATTCATCTATATTTCACTTCAATCTTGTTATGTGAATCTACTTACGCTCTTCAGGGTCTTCACTTGGAGGTGCATTACTTGGAAGGGCTTGGACAGCTGCTCGGGTTTCTGGGGTGGAATCAATTGGTCCAATTCTTGCATTACTCTGCTCATCCCATTGAGAATCAAAGCCCCCGTTATCATCAGATGTAGCAGCATCACTGCCTTCCTGGACTGCAGGCACTTTGTATGTAAAGATCCAAAAACAGAGCTTAAATAAGCATGAATATGATATGCAGAACAAGTACAGTGAAGGAAATAAGTATTTGATCCCCTGCTGATTTTGAATGTTTGCCCACTCACAAAGACATGATCTAAAAATCGAATGGTAGGTGTATTGTAACAGACAGAATAGCAACAAAAAATTCAAAAGAAATGCATGTCTAACAAATTATGTACTGATTTGCATGTTCATGAGTGAAATAAGTATTTGATCCCCTTCACAAAACATGACTTAGTACTTGGTGGCAAATCCCTTGTTGGCAATCACAGAGGTCAGATGTTTCCTGTAGTTGGCCACCAGGTTTGCACACATCTCAGGAGGGATTTTGGCCCACTCCTCTTGGCAGATCCTCTCCAAGTCATTAAGGTTTGGTGGCTCACGTTTGGCAACTCGAACTTTCAGCTCCCTCCACAAATATTCAATCGGATTAAGGTCTGGAGACTGGCTAGGCCACTCCCGGACCTTAATGTGCTTTTTCTTGAGCCCCTCCTTTGTTGCCTTGGCCGTGTGTTTTGGGTCATTGTCATGCTGGAACACAAATCCACAACCCATTTTCAATGCCCTGGCTGAGGGAAGAAGGTTCTCACCCAAGATTTGACGGTACATTACACCATCCATCGTCCCTTTGATGCAGTGCAGTTGTCCTGTCCCCTTAGCACACTGTTTCCTCGATTTTGGTCTCATCTGACCAAAACACTTTCAACCAGTCCTCCTCTGCATCATTCAGATGTTCAGTGGCAAAATTCAGACGGGCCTGGACATGTGCTTTCTTGAGCAGAGGGAACTTTGCTGGCATTGCAATCCTTGTCAGCGTAGTGTGTTACCACAGGTTTTCTTGGTGACTGTGGTCCCAGCTGCCTGGAGATCATTGACAAGATCCTCGCATGTAGTTCTGGGATGATTGCTCACTGTTCTCATGATCATTGACACTCCACGAGGTGAGATCTTGCATGGTGCACAAGACCTAGGGAGACTGACAGTTGTTTTGTGTTTCTTCCATTTGCGAATGATTGCCCCAACTGTTGTCACCTTCTCACCAAGCTGCTTGGCGATAGTTTGGTAGCCAAGTCCAGCCTTGTGTAGGTCTACAATCTTGTCCCTGACATCCTTGGGACAGATCTTTGGTCTTTGCCATGGTGGAGAGTTTGGAATCTGATTGTTTTATTGCTCCTGTGGACAGGTGTTTTTTATACAGGTAACAAAATGAGATTAGCAGCACTCCCTTTAAGAGACTGCTTCTAATCTCAGCTTGTTACCTGCATAAAAGACACCAGGTAGCCAGAAATCCTGCTGAATGATAGGGGATCAAATACTTATTTCCCTCATGAACATACAAATCAGTGCATAATTTGTTAGACATGCATTTCTTTTGAATTTTATGATGCAATTCTGTCTCTCAGTGTTACAATACACCTACCATTTGATTTAGACTGATCATTTCTTTGGGCAAACATTCAAAATCAGCAGAGGATCAAATACTTATTTCCTTCACTATATGTATAAGTCTACAGTTCAATATGCAAGAGTAAACTAAAGTTAGGACAAAATGGTGAGACTCCTTTTTAAATCTTGCACTTATAACATGCAATCTGGCAGTTAAAATTTACATGGGTATAATATAAGCCAATGTTTCTCAACCTTTTTTCAGTCAAGGCACCCATTAAGTCTGCACAATCTTGAGGTATCCCAATCTAAAGTACAAAAAAAAAAAAACCAAACAAATAGTTTTACATAACGCAGCAACATCCACCCCCCTCCACCTCATCAGCCGATGAAGTCCCTGGATGTTAGGACGCCAGCAACTGGAAGGTTGTAATAGTGCAAAATGAAAACCTGTGACTGTGTAGCTAAAACGCAAGCTTGATCCACCTGCAGGGTTGTGTACACTTTTTGGGCAATTTTTAGGCATTTTGCTAAGGCACCCTTGAAAAAAAATTCTGAAGCCTGAGCACCCTGGTTGAAAAAGGTTGATATAAGTTTACATTCCTCTTGAAATATCAATACAACTATGTAATATGTGTCTCGATTCATAGCAATCTAATGTGTTAAAAGAAATTCTGAAAAGAGATTTGTTTACACGTACATTTTGACTGCAGGCAAATTCCATTTATGGGAGAAAGCTTAAAAAAAGGATTGCAAATAATTCTTAGAATCTGTATGTATTTATATGAAGAAGTCGGTTTGGGTGACAGATACCTGAGATAGGCTGTCACAAAGTCCTGCTTGATCGTCAAAGATTTATTTGAATAAATTCCAAAATGGTAGAGTCTGTACTAAAGCACAATAATTGTACTGACTCATACTTTTGTATTCTACGGTTTACATGTCTAGAGCCTAGTGATATTTCATACACAGAACACAGTGAGAAAACACACAAGACACAACAAAGTTGTCAGCGTTATTCTACTCCTTGACAGCTGAAATCCTACCTTGCATGTTGTATGTTGGCTTCTTCAAGCCACTCTGTGTGAATCCAGGATCCCCATCTGCCATCTTCACTAACCATATCATTGTAGCTGTTGATGACATAAAACTAAATTAAATACTGATCTCCACTGGCTGCATCGAGTGACACTGTTGGGGTTAGTTTGCTTTCCATTAAAATGCATGCTTTAAATCCCAACTCCTGACAAAACTCTTTTATTCTGGATACAGTGGAAGATACGAATGTCGGGTTTTTTTTATGATCTTCCACATACCTACTAGGGAGATTTCCATTTCCTGCTGTCATGATGACAAGCTTAACCAAGATAAGTGAAGAAATTAACTTTCCATAGAAAGGTCACAGACCACAAAAACATGACTGCGGTTTTAACCCTTTTACTGCTGGTGACTTACGGATTACGTTAAGATGTACACAAACTCCAGGCCGCTATAGTAGATGGCGTTTGTTGACATTTTTTACAGTGAGCTGGCGACTTTCACAAATTAGTGATTCAGCCACCCAATTACTTTTATATACTGTTAATGCAGCTGCAGCACTTCTAGGATCATTGTTGTTAATCTCTGGCATCTCTAGGGCTAGGGCAGAAGATGACCAAGCAGTCTAAGTGCAAAATTGACAGACTCCTGCATGTCATCTTGAAAATAAACTGTCACCCACAGTATTTCATCATACAAAAAAAAAAAAAAAAAAAAAAAAAAAAAAAAAAAAGGAATTTTGACTTGCGTGTAAATCAATATTTTGGAGAACTTGTATTCATAGACTGAGTAATATACAGGCTACCTTCAAATGACTGGATACTAGCAAAAAACTTGTAAGGGCATATACCCATATAACCCCATCAACTCAGTGAGACTGCAGTTTTTTGGTTTTTTTTTTTTTTTAACAATCAATAAGTGGAGATCAAGCAGCAGAGGGGACGGGGCTATGCTCTGTACTGTACTTTAGGAATCTACATGCAAGTCAAAGTTCTTATATTATTCTAATCTTAATCGTACAGTACAGGGCTTATATTTAAAGGCCATAGGATGTCCCCAAAGAATGAACTGAGCGGTGGGCAACAAGGTAAACAGAAAACACAAGGGTTAAAGAACCTGAAAACACTCATACCTCTCAGTAAGGTGGGAATAACGGTCAGATGACCACATACTTTAGCACCATGTAATGTATCAACAGCCATGCCGGTAAAGGCAGCAACTGAAAAGCAGGATGGAACAAAGGGCCATAAGCCATCTCCGAGTATGTCTGTGTAGCTGATTCTTCTGGGCCAATTTGATGCAATCAGAATCACCGGGACCCATTCTTCCTCTATCTGGCCCAGCAGTTGAAGGATCTTCACTGCAGCAAAGGCATTAGCCAGTTTGAATGGAGATCAAGGAATTACCAGAGCATCTATTGTGAAGGATAGAGCAACCCCGATCTTGACTATTAATTTGTTCAGTTTGTTGCTGAACATGGAGGTAATGCTATCTACATCTGATTTTACCCATCTTTGACACAGATTTGAAAAGATCTGGGCTGCAGAGACTACTCCTCTAGGTCTAGGTGTATGTCTATTTACCAACTGTCCACTCCACGGTATGTGGATAGCTAGAATAGCTGGAATGTAAGTTTCTGCGCAGGGGAGTGACAGACCTGTTTCTCCTAGGACAGACTGACTTCTGGTACCCTTCTGATTGTTTATGTAGGTCACTGCTGTGGCACTGCCAGGCTGCACCCTGACTGGGTGACCTCGCAGAAGGGAGATCCGTTGTTGTATAGATAATCTGATGGTTCTCAGTTCCAGAAAGTTGATGGAGAGTTACAACTCGTCTGGGGACCATGTCTCTGCCACTTTAGCACCTCAAGAAATGATAGGCAGTCAAAAAGTAAAAGCTGCGTAAATTCCAACGTATACCATAGATTGTAGACATTATACCTTTCACACAAACAAACCAATTTACATGTAGTGAGATTTTATTTTTACCAAAGACATGTAGCAGAATACATTTTGGCCTACATTTATGACTGAGTTTACTGGATATTTTTTTTTATAACAAAGTAAAAAATATTTTCCTTTTTCAAAAGTTTCCACTGGTGATCAAATACTACCAAAAGAAAGCTCTATTTGTGTGAAAAAAGGACTTAAATTCCATTTGGGTACAGCATTGCATGACCACGCAATTACCACTTGAAATCGTGCAGTGTCGAATAGCAAAAAATGGCCTGGCTTAAGGACACTAGTGCAAAAACTGAAGTTTCACAGGTTGGGCAGGGTTATATGGATATGCATTGGGGATGGCCTTAGCAAGTTTTCTGCCAGTGCCAATAATCTGAAGATAGCCTGCATTGAACCAATGGTCTATGAATACTGTATGTCCTGTTACTGTATGAAGAGTATGAAAAAAATTGAAATTTTATCAAACAAAATAAACACGCTGACAGCATTCACCCTTTTGCTGCCAGAGCCTTTTTGTATCTTTTGCAGATGTTTAACTATTTCAATACTGGACACTTTCAACCCCTTCCTGACCAGGAAAATGTTACAGTTTTAGTACTGTTACACTTTGAATGCCAATTGCTCAGTCATGCAACATTTTTATCTTTATTTAAGACAGGGAGCTGGTGGTATTTAATCACCACTGGGAGGGGTTTTATTTTTTTTTTGCTGCAACAACAAAAAAAAATTTGTTTCTGTTATACCATTTTGCAAATAAATGATATTTTTTTCATAAATTCAGGCCAAAACGCACTCTGCTACATTTCTTTGTTAAGAATATCCCAAAACTGTGTATATTATGTATGCTGTGTAATAGTTCTAGAACCTACAAACTATGGAATATATATTTGAAAACTGATCAATCCTGATGTACTGACTACCTATCTCAATTTTATGAGGCCCTAAAATGCCAGGACAGTACGAAAAAAAACCCATTTTGGAAAGTAGACACCCCAAGGTATTTAATAAGAGACATGGCGACTTTCTGCTTCCATCTGAGAGCTGGCTTGTCAGATATATACACTCCCAGTGGCTGCAGCCTGTAAACCCCCCTGCTGTCAGGTCTATATGTTCTCGACAAAAAACATTTTGTGTACAGTTGGGCTTTAACTTGGGTAAACTTGCCCATTACTAAAAATACCATTTGACTTCATTTAAAGGCAATTTTTTTTTGTTTTGGATAGAGTAGGGAGTGGTAAGAACACCTGTCACGTTTTTATTGTATTTCTGTCCCTGTTACAAAGACTCACACTCTTTAGTTGTCCTGTTTACCTTGATCACCAAAAGTGAAAATTAAAAAAACAAACAAAAAACTTTGAGTTGTCCCCAGAAGAATAGCAGGGAAATCTTCCAATGGGGATCCTAGCTCTGGAGACCCTGGGGACAACCAGGAATTCCCTTGCTTTGGAGTTATTTCTTTTCACATCTTGTTTTGGCTATGGGACAGGAAGTGAAGGAAAAAGGTCTACAATGGGATGGCAAAAAAAATGTCAGGGTTTAAAACCTTCCCCTACTGTTTCCAAAATAGAAAAAAATGTTTTGCCTTTAGTTCTATTTTAAAGTGTTACTAAACCCAGGACCCTGCACTCACTATATCTGGTCTTCAACAGTACACAGAACATGGAAATGCAATTATTTTAGTAAATGTAAACTGCTAAATACCTTTTCTCATCAGCAGTTAGAGCAGTTTTGTGACTTCTATCAGTGTTCAGCAGAGCACTGGGTAAAGCATGAAGGAGGAGTTTTCTCTAAGAGGATGTAGAACCCCTGACTTCTGTCTGGGCAGTGCTGATTGGCCCTGTGCTGATCACATGCACTCTCCCAAGAAAAAAAAAACCTCTAGCAATACACACCAAACTGAGCATGTGCAGTGTCTCCACACAATATGTCTTATCAGGAGATAAGAGGAGGACACTGGAAGAACGGGAGGATCAGAGAAAACAGGATCAAACATCCTTTTTACACAATGCAGAGGATTACCCCTTAGGTTCCACAGTGAGTATAACAAGCATGTTTTACTGCATCTATAGACTGATTTTACTGTTGTGGGTTTAGTAACACTTTACGTTCTGTTGAGTGAGGAAAAAGCAAGTATGAAGATAACATGTTTGCTCTCACACAAAATTTAAACATCCTTTAAAAACCCTTCTATTGCACAAAAATGGAAACACAGCTAGTTCAGCACAACACAAATCCGTATACATTATCAATCTTCTGCACTTTCCATCTGTAACTGTTTCTGCTCACTAAATATCATGGACCGTGCTGGAATACATAAGGATGACTCATACCTACCAGACTAGTATAAGGATCCTTATTTTCAAATAATTCAGTAGAGTCACTGAAATTTAAACATTAGTGTCACATGGCAGAAAAAAAAATTCTGCAGCTTTGTGAATTGAACCTAAAGAAATGCCTTTGTGTACCTAGAGCAGAATTTTCTTGATACGCAATACGAAAAACCAGAGCTGAGCTTCCCTATGTGAAAATAAGCCTTACACTAGAAATATTGTTCAATAATTTGCTGTATATAGACAATCTCGTAACTTCAGCGTGAAAAGTGAAAGGAATCTAGAATGAAAAATTTTAATTATAACTGTTGTGAATCCTAATAAAATTTAATGAAAAAAACCTTGTTTGTGGACCTTGATTTAACACTTGAGTATTCATAAATGAGTAAAAAAAGAAAAATGAAAACATTACTCATTAACACACTTGATAGTTGCACAAAAATAACTAATCCTACTTTTAAACAAGTTAAAAAAAAATAAACACCCCTACCTAAAGAACATGTATACTTACAGGAATAGATTAAGGCTGGGAAGAGGGTTTCATTTCTCTCTTGGGCAGTTTCCACCAGCATACGGAGAGGCCCCTTCGGACACAAAACAGCTATGAGATCTAAATAAGAACATTGGGTTAGCTAGGGCACAGTATTTATTTTGTTTCACTGTATTCAAATTTATCCCCCCAAAACTAGTATGTTACACAAAGCCACCATCAGCACTTAATCACATTTTATTTATGTATACAGTACAGAAATTTCTCAACTTGTAACCAATGAACCAACAGCCCTTTTGTTTTAGAAGCTCAGATGCCCAGACCAGGTTTAGCAGTGTTTGTGTAAGTCAGTCAACCTGACAATATCTCTAATTTTCAGACTGACAGCAAATCTGAGAACTAGAAACACACAGTTGCCCATAGACCTGCACTGGATATGAGGACACAAAGAAACAGTCCACTGCCAGATAGTAAGGGGGCGCCATCTTCCAAGGATGCAGAGGATTGAGTAAGAAAAAATGGTTTTCTGTCCCCTAGATAACCCTTGCAGTGAGGGGCATCTCTTACACAGGAGGACCCAGCTCTGGGAAAAATTAAACAGTCATTGTATTCACAAAGGTGGTTCAGATGAACCCCTGCACAATATTACAGGCGTACCTCGGTTTGCGAATGTAATTTTCGGTTTATGAATTAAAAGCCATTGAAAATAATGGCTCGGTTTACAATTTTTTTTGGCAATATGAACGGATTAATTGGCTTTCAATGCATTTACAAATTTTTTTTAAATCATGTCCCTGTACAGTACTATGCATTAAAGTGCACTTCATAAAGAGTTTTGAACAGCCAAGACTGACTTTTTTCTGACCTCTGGAATGGATTAATTGGTTTTCAATGCATTTACAAATTTTTTTTTTTAATCATGTCCTCCCAGTACAGTATTTATGCCTTTAAAGTGCACTTTATAAAGAGTTTTGAACAGATAAGACTTTATTTTTTTCTGACCTCTGGAACGGATTCATTGGTTTTCAATGCATTCCTATGGGGAACTGCATTTCGGTTTATAAATTTTTCGCAATACAAAAAGTCCCGCAGAACGAATTAAATAAAACCGAGGTATGCCTGTACTTACATTCCACTGTCCCTATGAAAGTAATTTGTGCATACACATGGATGCCAAGAAAGTGAATCTTTAATTTTATTTAATTGACTAAAATATGTAAAAATCATCAAAAATAAAATCACCAATGTCAACAACTGTTTCATATTGATTTAATATACATCTACTCTACATCCAATTCTATTTTGCTAAAATGTACCTCCTCTCTAAATCATAATTTTACATTTTTCATAGACATAAGATGGTAGTCACATTGAGAACCAACTAACAGAAGTCTCTTTCAGAAAATGATTGTTCCATTTTGTGCACTAAGTAGACATCCATAGCAAAACAAAAACATTGTAAAAAGGGAAACAATTGAGAAGAGCTGTGAGAATTCAACACGGTAGACTATGGCCTAAAAATAATCAGCCAAAGCGTGTGAGATTTAAAAGCAACAACCTAAAATGTAAAGACCTTCACCCAAACCAGGAGTAGGCAACCTTTCAGAAGTTGAGATCTAAAAACTATTCTCTCTCTCCCCTCCACAAAACAGTGTCCCTGCCCCCCCCCCTTTCACATCACCACACACTGTAGTGTCTTCTGCCCCCTGAAAGTAGTGTCTTCTGCCTCCCCTCCAAAAGCAATGTCCTGTCACCTTCACATCATACCGCCCCCCCCCCCCCCGACAGCGCACTGTGAAGGTAGCACTCTCCTACTGGACAGCACGTGTACACCAGGAGGCAGCATAGTTTTGGATGGAAAGCGGGAGCATGTGCTGCCGGAGTTAAACACTTCATAACAACAAGCTGGTGAGTGGTTGCCAGGACTGCCTAGCTGCCAATCACATGCTGGTTATCTGAAAAGGTTAATGGAGGCAGCTCCTGCGCCAGCCCTCCATCCAGCACTATCCTGCCTCCCATTCTCTGAACATGACAGTGGTGGAGGCTGGGAGGAAGCAGAGCAGCATTCACCATCTGTTGGCTGCCCGCAGTCGACCGGTAAATCGCGATCGCCAGCTTGCGACCCCAACCTAAACCAACCCAAGAACATCTGCAATCACTTGGTTGGGAAACTTGTTCAAGTTTTTACTGTCACATCTACACCCACTATGGACCTTGACCTTACTTGCTAATCCCATGCCAGTATGCAAGTCACCAGAAAAAGTAAGGAGAAACCTCAAAAATGACAGCTATCACCTGGAAAGAATGTAGGAAAAAATTCCCAATAAGGACACCTGTTCCAGAGGAATTTTCAAATGCAGAATCCTGTAAGGCCGCAAGAGTACAGTGAGGGGAAGCTTCCCAACAGAAATACAAAACCGCAATAAAGACTTTACAGAGGTTCTAACCCTATTAAAAACAAAAGAGTTTGGTAAGAGTTCTACTTTTAGCATGCAGATCCTGCAAAAAGACCCTCATTCATAAGGAACACACTCACCATAAACAGATATTACAGCCAGGATGAGCCAAGCTGTCCATTCTGGAAGATATTTAATGAACACTAAAGCCATGAGTGCACTGATCATAATGAGATAGGCCTGTTGTAGAAGGAGGGGTCCTTTCCAGTGAATGCAGATCATGCCAACCACTCCAAAATTCCAGATCATCAAGGCCAGAGTAATGTAATCCATGGCAACGTTGTACGTCTTAAACACCTCACTGGAAAACAAACAATTTTCACATCCGATTTCCAAGTGTGGGCAACATCTTCTAGACTGCTTAATATGACAGAAAACATTCTACAACTTATGACAAACAGTGGAGGATATTATTGAAGGAATCCCAGAGACAAACATGTGGATTGCCCGTTAACCTTGTTCTAAAAATAAAATGGCTGCTTTTCCCCATCAAGTTGATCAAATATCTTTACTACTTTTTGGGTTATTGACACAGAAGACGCAGCACAGGAGTTGCGACTAAACTGGTTGTGTACTTGTTCTGAGTACACAAATTAAAAGACTAAAAGATACAGGCAGGTAAACCGCATTTTCATGAATTCAGCAGTGGTAGCCTACTTTGATCTCCCAGTACAGGTCACATTTAAGAGCATTCTGCTTGGAAAATGTGGCCCAGTTTGAGAGCAGGATTCTTGTACACTTACCCCAAGTAGATAAAGGAGAAGAAAAACAGTAACAACAGCGAGGAAATGATGAGCCAGCCATGAATGACCTGTATCAAAAAGACAGAACAATACTTTCTGAGAGAAGCATTTGTTAAATTTGAAGAATCTTTTAACCAAAATTTGACTACACTGTGTTTAAACTACAAGGAACCTCATAAATCACTTTAGTCAACTACTAAGTAGCAATTCTTCCACCTGTCTTTCTTTCCTGAAAACGCTGATAGGCAATACTGCTAATGCCTCCTGGGAGACTTCCAGAAGGTCCAGCAGACATCACAGCTCCCACATCATGTGAGGCAGTACACCCTTTTGTCAAACTCTATATTGGAAAATTGATTGTAAAGGTTTTTTTTTTTGTTTTTTTTTTTTTAAAAACAGCAAACATCTCATACTTACCTGGGGTCTTCCGCCGGCACTCCTGGCTCTTGGTAGTCACTTGCTACGGTGGCACTCACATGGGCTCAATCATAAGCCAAGCTCTGAGTGTTCTTCGGCACACACAGTGCATCTCAGCCCTGCCCTCTGTTCTCTCCTCAGCTGTGACTGACAGCAGCAGGAGCCAATGGCTCCCACTGCTGCTTCCATGTCTAGTGAGTGAGATAGGAGACACTGCTCTAATGCTGCATTCACACCTGAGCAAATTGTAGCTTGACGCTTGAAACTCCAAAAACGATCAAAACTAAAAAATTAATAGTTCTCGATGGTGCCTGTTCGTGCGATCAGGTGTGAACAGGCACCATAGTAAACAATTGATGTTTTAAGTTTGTAGCTTGTAGCTCGAAGCACCAAAAATGCTCAAATACTTCAAGTGTGAATGCAACCTTAGGCACAGCACTGGATCAAGATCAGGTTCAGGTAAAGATTTAGGGGGGCTGGGGAGAGCTGAACACAGATTTGTACCTTAATGCAGAGCATGCATTAAGGTACAAAGCCTTCTGTCTTTACAAACACTTTAACAAAGAAGAACCAAATAAGCATATTACCAAAGGCAAAGTAGCTTTTTCTTAAAACAAAAATAGTTTAAAAAAATGGGTCAGTTACCTACAACTAAAAACAAACGGAAGGCTTACTCATGAAAAAAAATGGTGCATGTTATGGTAGTTCCAGGATTATCCTATTTTATCACTAGATCCAATAACACACAAGATTTCTAGCAAGGCTCCATCGGGGCCATCTGAAATTGTTTCTATTAAATACATGCACACCTTAAGAGTCAACTTACAAAGAAACTAAAATAAAAATAGATGTTCCCACCCCCTTCCCACAAAGAAGAAAGCAAATAACTTGACAAAGCAGCCAAATGCCACTGGGAGGAAGACCAACACTGGTGGCGGTGATGGAGTAAAGGTCCCACACCACATTTAGTTGTTCCTTCTGAAGATCACAATGGAATTAGAAGATACAACAGTGACAAAGAAAGGGGAGGGATCAGGAATCACACTGCCAAAAGTACTGATCTCGGATGAGTCCGACGTTTGTGATTTCTCTTATTTATTTGCAGCATTGTAAGGTAGTATGAGAAGCAAAAGAACCATTTGCTTTCTTACTTGCAGAGGGCCCATTTATTGGACTTTAAACAATGGAGTCACTGTAATGTAATGTTAATCTGAACCCTAGCACTGGTAGAAAGTATTAACCATGGCAAAATTCAGCATCTCAAAAATCTGTAGATCGGACAGATCTCTATCCCATTCAAAGCAGCATAGACCTGATAGGAATGCAGAACTTGAGAAGTCTCAGGAAGTAGGTAGCTGATGTGCCCAAAAACTGCTGTTGGCAAAAACATCAAGCAAAAGGTCTACAAATTGTAGACTAGCAGCTATATCACAGGTTAATTTAAGACTGCAATGCACAGCTGTAGCACAGACTACAGCTCAATGAAACAAATTAATCAATACTGCATGCTCAAATTACAAGCCGACATACATTGAAAAAAAACTGACTCCCTGTTATGTTATACAATTTCAGGAATTTTGGTGGATTCTCTTAAAAACTGACAAACATTAAGAACTACATCAGTTAGCAAAATTTAAAAGGAAAAAGGCACTTTCCATTATGAAAAATATAACTGTTCCCCCGTCATCAGACAAAATGTGAATAGGATGGGCTGTCTACTAAAATTCCAGCATTTCGAAGCCAGGACATACGTTTTAGTAGGGTTTTAGGGTTTAGTAGGGTTTTTGAGAACACGCCAAGTCAGTTTATGTCTACCTCCACCCCAGACAAAAGATTTTAGGATTTTAAATCTGCTGCAAGGACGAGTCAGTATCAGCTAGGTACAGTATCATATCAGCATATAGTCCAATCATTTCAACCAGTTCTCCTCTCTCCACACACACTCCAGGTGCCGATCTGATTTTATGGCTAAAGGTTCGGCTGCCAAGGCATATACTAAGGACGTGAGTGGACATCCTTGATGAGTGCCTCTAGAGAGAGAAAAAGTCTCAGATGTCCGTCCATTAGCCAACACTCGAGCCTGAGGGTCTGAATACAATATAGAGATGCAGGGATGTTGGGACTCCTGTCACCCAACGCCCGGGGAATGCTGATACTGTACCTAGCCGATTCGGACTCGTCCTTGCAGCAGATTTTTATACCTTATAGAACAATTTGGAATTTTTCTGGCCTCACAATTAATTGGCATAAACCTCAAATTCTTCCTATAGATTCCTCCCCCCCTCCTGTTATTTTAAGCTCCTGTGCCATTAGTAGGTGTTAATACCATCAAATATTTGGGTATGCAAATATCTAGATTACATGCTGTCTATATTGCTCTAAATGTAGAACCCCTTTTTTACCCCCTTTATCAGAGCCCAATCTCGAACTTGGACCACATTGCCACTCAGGGTGATGGGTAGAATTGGGATGATAAAAATGGTCGTTACCCAAAATCCTTTACATACTTTGGCACTCCCCAGTCTATATCCCATTATGGTATTTTAAGGCTATGGACTCGATCCTAAAATCTTTTGTCTGGGTTGGAGGTAGACATAAACTGACTTGGCGTGTTCTCAAAAACCCTACTACCCGGTGGGGGGGTACAGCCCTCCAGGATTTTGAGACTCTAAGGTAAGCCGCTTGAAAAGGGATTTATCTTCCATAAAAGGTGACCCTTCATAGTTCCTTTTTATTTTATTTTTTTTGTAAAAAATGAAAGTTACACCCAAGCACATACCATCCCCCCCAAAAAAATATTGAGAGCCGTACCCACATACAAACTTAAAAGCACACGCTGGGGCACCTACACGTGAAGCAGTGGAATGCAATACACATCACATATCACTGCGCACACCAGAATGAGCAATAATTCTAGCACCTCCTTTGTAACAGTAAACTGGTAACCCATAAGTAGTTTTAAAACGTATCGACCTATAGAAAATATAGCGCGCACAAATTTAAGGTTTGACGAGTTGAATATCTATTTACTCGCTGCAACCTCCTCTTTTATATTTTACAAAAAATAGTGTAATTTATTGCTTTTTTTGTGCCCTAAAATTAACTTGCTTGTATTTTTTACTAAAATTTTGCAGTAAAATCATGCAAACATGAAACATCGGAACTACCAGTATTTTATTATCTAGGGTCTCTGCTTTCAGAAAATATATGTTTGGGGGTTTTATGTAATCTTCAGGCCTAAAATGATTTTTTAAAACGTGTGCAAAAAAACTCAAAAATGGTTCTGGCAGCGAAAGGGATAAAGTATAAGCCCTGACCCACCCTTTCCTGATGAGCAGCCAATCGTTGTTCATCACACTGAAAGGTCTCCCCCCTCCCTGCTATTCCCCAGGTGCAGGGGAAGAGGAGATAAACAGCGCAATGTTAAAAATATTACATGTTTAGGTCGCCATAAAGTCTCTTTTGCTTTTAAAAGCCACCCCCCCCCCCCCCCCCCAACATTCCTAAAATCACCTCCAATTTAAATACGATTTTGGTTAAAAATGTATTTTGGGTTTTTTTTTTATCTGGACAAGTAGATTGTCATGAGGGACAAGTAGATTGGGGCCCCAATTTAGTCCCTGGACAAGTAGTTTTTTCAAAAATTTCCACACCCCTGAGATGGCTTTTTTCTTTTTAAATAACAAACATGTCTATACTTACCTGCTGTGTGCAGTGGTTTTACACAGAGCAAACCAGGATCCTCCTCTTCTCGGATCCCCTGCCGGTGCTCCTGGCCCCTCCCTCCTGTCAGGTGCCCCCACTGCAAGCAGCTTGCTATGGGGGCACCTAGTGCTCCGTGTGCCCATTCACACAGAGCAGTGGCTTGGCCCCCACCCCCTCCCACCAATGGTTCTAGCTTCTGTCTAAGCCTGAGGAGAGGGAGTCCTGGGATATCCGAGACTCCAGTGCACATCGCTGGATCAAAAGGGGGCTTAGGCGAGTATTGGGGGGGGGGAGCTGGGAATGCTGCACAGCGAAGGATTTTTTTATCTTCTGCATAGAATGCATGATGGTAAAAAACCTTCAGCCTTTACAACCACTTTGATAATATACACTTCCAATTTAAAACAATGTCCACTGTACACACCCAAAGTCTGAAAACTAGAGGCAGACCATTAACAACCAATCCCAATTGGCTGTCTTTAAGTTTATTTGATTTGATTTAGACACAATGTCACCAACTTAAAAAAAGCAGGTACAGAAGTATTTTACTTGCAGTATTTTCCTTTCCATAAATTCTTATTTACTTGCATTGTGACTTTGCACTTGCTAGAAAATTAAAACACTTCAGGTGAGTCAATTTCCTAGCACAACTGCAGTTAACACTCCTTCCTTCCTTGCATGTCATTGGAAGAGTCTAATAAGTCTGGTTCTGGCACACCTTTTCCACCCCTACCTTAATTAAAACCTACTGAATGCCAACTCAGTGAAAGGTGTGAGTTTGCTGGGGCTGTTGACATGACATTCAAGATGTCAGCACTCAAAAAAGTATTCTCTGGACTTTTGAATGTCTACAAAGTGGAGGCTTTTACGGGTAAATGCATAAAATGTGTCAAATGCACAAAGAATCCTTTGGAAAAAAAATTTGTCCAAATGGTCTGGTGACATG